CACACACACAGATACCCGCACTGGCACACACACACACACACATACCCGCACTGGCACATACACACACATACATACCTGCACTGGCACGCGAACACAGACACACACACACACTGATGGGATGGGATTATTTTTATGCTCTCAGATTTTAACATGTTAGTGAATAAGCCCCTAGACTAACAAGCTAAATTCTGTTCAATCAGAGGCTGCTCTCTAATTAGGCGATTTAGGCGGCCTAAGGCCTCTCGCTTGCTGGGGCTTCGCGGCCACCTAAATCGCCTTAGGACAGACTGAACTGTCGGATCTTCGGTCCATGAGAGGGGGCCTGACGGCTTGCCCAACTATGCCACCGGGTGGCCCCTCCACATGGTCTGCCCACAGAGAGAGACAGCCTCTGATGTCACGTAATGTGGTTCTTGCTAGCTTAGAGCGTTGCCGTGGGTTACCATGGCAACGCTCTGACAGGCGCTCGCGAGAACGAGGTTTGCAGCTCTCACGGAGCGGAGCTGCAGCCAGAATAGTCATCCCACTGGACCACCAGAGACTGCTGCCACTGGACCACCAGGGAATTTCAACACAAAGGTATTTCAGTGGGTGGAAGCTTGTCACAGCCTCCACACACACTGGCCCCCAACACTGCCCACCCACCCACACTGCCCCCATCACTGCCCTCCCACCCACACTGCCCCCATCACTGTCCCAACACTACATCTCAAACTAAAGATGTTCCCATCTTTCTCATCCATGAATTAATTTATAAAGGAATGCCCATACTCTGTCTTGTTTAAATGAATTGGACCTATTACTGTTCTATCAACGTGTCTTTCTGTTTCCCTCTCCCATGATGTAGCTGGACGCACAATGTCACAGAACGTGGACAGTCTCGCCAGGATTTGCCTGGAGAACATCGCAGCCAATATGCAAAATGTGTGGCTGGCAGATTTCACTGACATGGAGGAATATACCTTCATGTACATCGGGTGAGTGTACCGTCACCTTGATTACATTTATAATTATTCACCTCTCCATGTCAGAACATTACAGTGTGTGTACAAAATAAATCTCTGTGCTGGAATTATATCTACCTGGCAATATTGCAGTGAGTGTGGCTTTCTAGTGTGTGAGTGAGTGTGGCTTTCTAGTGTGTGTGTGGCTTTACAGTGTGTTAGGCTTTATAGTGTGTGAGTGAGTGTGTTTTTACAGTGTTAGTGTAGCTTTATAGTGTGTGTGTAACTTTACAGTGTGTGGTGTAACTTTACAGTGTGTGTGTGAGTGAGTGTAACTTTACAGTGTGTGAGTGAGTGTGTCTTTATAGTGTGTGAGTGAGTGTAGCTTTATAGTGTGTGTGTGAGTGAGTGTAGCTTTGTAGTGTGTGAGTGAGTGTAACTTTACATTGTGTGAATTAGTGTAGCTTTATAGTGTGTGAGTGTCTTTACAGTGTGTTTGTAACGGACTGTTTTGCACAGAAGAGGTTAAAAACCGTTTAGGCGATATCCCCCTTTTCAGATGCACAGACAGCTACTGCAAGCACCAATCTCCCGAACTGCAAACACATGAATTCACCAATCTCCCGAACTGCAAACACATGAATTCACCAATCTCCCGAACTGGAACCAGGGGAATGCTCCAAACTCCCGAACAGGAAACACAGGAATGCTGTAAACAGCCGAACAGGAAAAACCATACGAACAGTTTACACTCCTGGCAGTCGCACTGTAACAGCATACAATCCAATTCCCCCCAAGATCGAGACAACACTTCGTTTGAGGGTCAAGCAGAATCTGGTTTACTGGGGCTGCCTGCCCGGCTTTTATGCAGGTCTCCCGCCTGGTGGACACTCCCCTAGGGGACCAGATGGAAGACTGGGAAACATATTAGACATTGACCAATCACAAGTTTACAATCCCACAATGCAACACAATCCCTCCTCTCTGTCCTGGAGATAATTAGAAAGTAATCCAATTATCTCCAAGGACAGAGGCAAAACTCCATTAACCACATGGCAGACAAAGGACAATAAAAGACATAAAATTACATACTGTTACATTTATCACATAGAACATTCTACCTATCCCCAGATAGCTTAGATCTGAGTGCACATTACTACCCGATGGCGCTCAGAGCACACACCTACAGTTCAATCGCCATGGAGCCAAAGTCTTTCATACAGTCTTTCAGTATATGGCTGGGCTCCAT